TGTGACGTCAACACCCCCCACTCCCTAACTTTAATGCGGAATAACTACGTATTCTTCTGTTAATTTGATAAAACAAAAAATACGTGTCTGATATTTTCGTGCGATCTTAATGACGGACTAATTACTTTTTTGATTTTTTTACCCTGTCGACACGCCTATTTAAAAGCTCTCAGACTTGGAAATTTTTAAACATTTTTCTGATCGTCGACTTCAAGGATCTCCTGCATAACCTTTTGCGGTGCCTAAGTATGTTTGTTTGTGTGTACCAGTGCGGCGTAAAGGCCGCCGGAGTCCGAGGATACACGCGTCACTTCCGCGACGCCCACCCGGGACTGGTTCCCGCGCAGTGCCACACACACGACGCTCCCTACATGTGCGAGCATTGCGGGAAGATGTTCACGGTGCGTACAATACAATACAATGTACAAGGCCGCCTTTGTACCCTATTTTCTTTATTTGTTCCTTGATGTACTGTCTCAAATTGGTGTACAATAAAGATTATTTATTATTATTATTATTATTACAATATACCCACTTACATTCACTTCATTATGACGTAAAAGGGAATTGTGTCCGGTATATGGCAATAGGCTCACTCCCTATTACATGGGACTCATAACATAAATAATGAAAAGTGTTATATTGTACAGTGGCATATGGTGCACCTCTGCCTTCCCCTTCGGCGATAAAAGGCGAGATGTTATGTTATGTTGACTTACATTTACTTATGATAAGTGAAAGTCATCGCAAGCCTAACAAGCGCGGCTCCGGGACAGCTCCAATCCAGCAATTAAGGCGCGGGTCTACGCTTCGACTGGAGTACACGAATATGTACCACGACTACGTACAGCGTGACACGGTGCACATAGGTGCAGGCATAGGCCAGCTCGGCGTCGCGGAGTACCTAACGGGTAACCGGGGCTCCGGCTCGACGTGCAGGAGAAGGAACGGGGTGGTTTTTAGTCAGTAAGAGTCTGACACTCCTTCCCGCCTCACCCAGGCGGGAGCAGTCATTCGATGATTTTCCCCCCTTAAAAAAAAAAATGCTGCTCGGCCGTGGTGTCACTCCGGTCGAGCCGGCCCATTCGTGCCGAAGCATGGCTCTCGGAACACTTAAACTGACTGAAAACCGCGCTGCGATAAGTGAGCTGTACATAGTCGAGGGTCATATTCGTGTACTTCAGTGGAAATGTAGACCGACGTCGACAGCGTTAAGCTATGGAACCGCCTATTCGAGCAAGCTACGCATGTATCAATGACGTCAATTCATGCGTAACCTCTCCGTGGGTTGCAGTGGACACAACCACTTACATTTTCTTCCAAAGTGAAGCTCAATACACGTCTGTAGCCTCTCCGTGCACCGCGGTGGGCCCGCGCCTTTAACTTGTCGTTTAAATAATAACATAACATCACGCCTTTAATCCCCGATAGGCAGAGGTGCACATTACAGCAATTAATGCCACTGTACAATGTAACACCCACTTTTCACTATTTATGTTATTAAGTAATTTAATAACGAGGTGCGATTTGTTTGACAAAAGTGCCTTCCTTGGTCTAATTGAAATAAATGATTTCGACTGACTTAGAATGTAAAATAAAATACTATTTTTTTCATTTCCACAGACTGTATATTTACTTAAAGGTCATATGTGGGTACATACTGGAAAGAAATTATTTCAATGCGATATCTGCAACAAAAGTTTTACAGCGAAGCTCACATTAAAGGAACATATTATGCGACACGAGTCAAAACACCAGAACCACGAGTGCCTGCTCTGTGGGAAACAGTTTGTTAACAAATCTAATATACTGAGGCATTTTCGTGTAGTAAGTATTACATACAAATTTTAAACTACAGAGCGCCACCTACTACGCTCCTTACATACTTCTTTAGCTTACATCACATTCATACATCTGATGGTATACAGAAACTGCAGAGCGCCACCTACTACGCTCCTCACATACTTCTTTAGCTTACATCACATTCATTCATCTGATGGTATACAGAAACTACAGAGCGCCACCTACTACGCTCCTTACATACTTCTTTAGCTCACATCACTTTCATACATCTGATGGTATACAGAAACTACAGAGCGCCACCTACTATACTCCTTATATACTTCTTTAGCTTACATTTATATCACATTTCTTGATAAATATAGTATATTAATGTTATAACTTTCGTGAGACATACTAAATTAATTATTATATTTTTCGACTTACTCACGTAATTATTTGATGAGGAACTCGACTAGTATCGACCAGTAGCAGCGCGACAGTCGCCGCGTCGCGGGTCGCGGAATGCTGCTTGGCTTGAAACTAGTCGAGTTCCTCGTCAAATAATTACGTGAGTAAGTCGAAAAATATAATAATTAAATATAGTATTTTATTACTGCCTCACTGGCCGAGTGGTCGCAAGTGCGACTTCCGGGCAAGGGGTCTCGGGTTCGATTCCCGGGTCGGGCAAAGTATTACTGGGTTTTTCTCAGTAGTAGCACGAAGTCTGGAACTGTGCCCAGTATATGGCAATAGGCTCACCCCCTATTACATGGGACTCATAACATAAATAGTGAAAAGTGGGTGTTACATTACAGTGGCATTAAGTGCCGTAATATGCACCTCTGCCGACCCTTTTGGGGATAAAAGGCGTGATGTTATGTTATGTATTTTATTAATTGATAACGTATGGCGTATAGAATACAATTTAATTCCCTTTACAATGAGAGTTTGAAGTTAAAGAGGTAGTCAATAATAGCCGTGATGTGTTATGCATGTCAAAATAAGCAACAATCGCAACACAAGACCTCCCATTTTAAAGTCCGTAAATACTTAATTATGTTTTTAATTTTTCCAGGCACATGAAGGGGTAAGGCGATTCAAATGTCATGTGTGCGACAAATCGTTTGCCAGTAAGGTAGAAATGACGGCGCATGTGAACCATGTCCATTTAAATATACCCAGGCCAAAACGTATTAGACGGAGACCTAAGAAATTATTGAAATAATCGTTTAGAAAAAATGAACTTTAAGCGAACTGTAACAGGGTTTCCTATTCCATGATACAATAATATATATATTTTTTTACGGAGGAAAATCATCGAATGGCTTCTCCCGCCTGGGTGAGGCGGGAGGGAGTGTCAGACTCTTACTGACTAAAAACCACCCCGTTCCTTCTCCTGCACGTCGAGCCGGAGCCCCGGCTACCCGTTAGGTTTTCCGCGACTCCGTATCGGCATCGGCCCTATTGGGCCCCATCTGTGGTGGTCTGATAGCTCTTTGAGGCGCGCGCGGACTGCTCGGCGCCGTACGCTCGGGTCTGTTTCTGGTCGGACGGGGAGCCACCCATGCTCGCCGTCCGCAGGCCCGCGCTTAAGGCGACCACGCACGCTAGGGTTTGCAAAGTCAAAGTCAAAGCATTTATTTCAATTAAACCATAGTTTGGTACTTTTGAAACGTCAACAAATACAAAATAAATAATAGCCTGTCAGTCAGTCCGTCAGTGAAACTAGGTGAAGCTAGGTGCTCATTCCAAAAAGTAGATTCGAATGGAGAAGAACGAGCAAGAAACTCCATTCGTTAATCTCTTTAAAAAAGTATGTTCTACAATGTCTCTGATACATATTCCAATACTGTACGCATATGTAAGAACAATGCAAAGACACGCTCGACGCATTATACTAATATGGTTTAAGCCGTGATGCATAACCGACCAGCAAGCCTGTATAGCCTCCTTTACGGTGGTCGGAGACCGTCTCGCGATCCCCGACACCCGGAGTGTCCTTCGCGATGGCTGGGTTGCGAGGAGGCAGCGCTTCGCTCCCTCACGCGTCCCGCCTCCTCCTTAGCTAGCATGACTGCTTCGCAAAAGGAGGAGACGGCATCCCAGTCTCCCTCGCTCCGCATCATGGCCCGGACTAGGGCGAAAGACGTAGTGCCTACTCTTGTCTTTTTTTTTACAAACATTCCTCACTCACTTAGGCTTAAGTTTACATAAAAATATTGTAATTATTAAGTTAAATAGTATTTTTGTAATAAGATATGATTTTGTTATAATAAATACTTGAAAGATTTTGCATGATTTTGTTTTTTTTTTGATAATACCTTTATTAAAAAATATAACGCTTAAAAAGAGTGCTCTAATCTGTGGCTTGGTTATATAAAAAAGGGATGATGACAGGGTATGAAAATTAAAAATGTAATTAGTCCGTCAGTTAGGCAATGAAAAACATTAGACGCTTATTTTTTTATTCTGTCGTATAAGAAAACAATACTTAGATAAAACGAATCAAAGTTTTAGAGTATAAATCGTACTCAAAAGTGACGTCATGCAATATTTCAAATCAATATGTCTTCGAAAGTATTCGTTCCGTAAAAAAAATAAAAAATACGTGTCTAACGTTTTTAAATAATCTACCAGACGGACATTAAAATAAAAAATAATCATCAACCCTGTCCTGTACCCAGGCAATGGTAAACATGACGATTAAACATTACGCTGCGATCAATAGGAGCTGAACAGAGCGGGTGAGACCGCGCGCATGTACCTAGTTCATTATATAAATCAGAAGAGTTTGTTTGTTTGAACGCGCTAATATCAGTAACTACTGGTCCGAATTGAAAAAAATATTTTTATCGTGGATAGTCCATTTATCTACGAACGCTATAGGCTAGAAAATATCACGCTGCGATCAATAGCATCCAAGCACAGCGGGTGAAACTACTGGTCCGATTTCTTTATTTTCTTTTCTTTTTTTTTTGTCCGGATTTTTCGAAGAAGGCCATATCACGCTACAATCAAAAGCATCTGAGCAGAGCAGGGGCTTACTCTTGAATCCAATTCCGATCGATCGACATTGGTATTGTGAAATTTCGTACTCTCGGGTCGCAACACTAGCGCCCACCCACATCCGTATTGTGTGGATATTGAATGAACTAAATGGTATTGAGTTTGGTTTTATTCCGTACTCTGAATGCTATTTTAACAACTACGATTGGAGTTGTATAGTTTTGATATTGAATTATTATTGAGATTTTTTAGACATTGAGATTGGTTTGAAGAGAAAGCACTCAGGCAGGTATAATAACCGCGCGCAATAACTGGTTAGAAATGTTTATAGACGACACTTCAATCGTTTGTCTATCGACGATTAAACGCCATCTGTCGGGAGAAAATTGGCTCTTTGCCACCCTAATAATAAAAATTGAAGAATAATTAGATTGACATTAATTTAACACAAATTCTTATTTTCAAAGTCTAGTTTTTTTGAAATTGCTTATTATGGTAACATTCTTTATGTGAGATGTAACCTAAGCCTAATTTGTTCCGAAGGTCACGACTGAGCTTAAATAATTTTACAAGGTCAACTTTATCAAAGCGTTCTTTCGTCTATCTCCTTCTACCTAGAGTACTTTTTCTGATGTGTGAAAGAGTAAGAGGACAATGTATACTTATGTTTACATACATTGTTATTGTAAAGCTACCATGTTCAGAAGTCAGGACTTTGACAACCGTGATTTTCTATCTCTTTTGTGTATGATAGCGTTGTAACAAGTGCGAATAGTACACAAGAAACCATGGCGTTTAATGACATTACTATTTAATTTATCCATATATCATTTGTCGGCTACTCTATTGACAGTCAATTACTATATGAATTTTTGCTAATTAAAATATGTTTGCAATACAATAAATGTAATATTGTCGATAAAAACGATTCTAGCATATAAAACACGAGTGTTTTGAATAACATTCCTACAAAATATGTTATCAGAAAAGAAAAAATGACGCTTTATTTTCGCAGTGTGCGTAAACGATTTTGCACTTGTATCATTTGGTTTTATTGTGAGAAATAAATAATAAAAATGAGGTGCTGTGTTCCCAATTGCAAGAATGATTCGCGACATATATCCAAGTCACAGGGAATTACATTTCATACGTAAGTTTTTACTCTGATTTTGTATGAGAATTACCATACGATTCGAACAGCATTCGAAAATTTGAGACACAAATATTATGATTTAATACAGTCACAATGTAAATTTTTTACAGTGTAAGTTAAGTACATGTTTATTTATATTTTGCGTGGTTTCTTATGCCATAAATAGGTTAATTAATATTGTAAAACTTCCTTCACATTCTATAAATTGTTCTCTTAGGTAAAAGGAAAGGAAATGATAAAAAAAAATATTGTTAATGAATTTAGTACCTATTTTTTACATAATTATTGTCATTCCTAGCATCTGCCTATGTCTACGCTCGGTGTTCCTATGGAATAAAAGTAGCCTATATGTGTTATTCTAGCCCGTTGAAATGTGTTGAAAATCATCCCCTAAATTTGAAAAAAAGTAGTCTCTAAACATTGGAAATAAGGTCTATAATGTAGTTAGTGGAGAGCGGTCACCGGTGATCGCTTGAGGATATATGGGCTAGACAATAATCTAGGTACCCCAGTTCCAAATTTCATCTCGATCCCTTTAACTGTTTTGACAAACATACACACAGATTCACAAACTTTTACATATATAATATTAGTAAGTTATGATTTGGTAACCTTTATAGCCCAAACAAATTTTTCTCATAGTTCTATACTGCTAAAAAACTACCATTTAACATGTATTTCAATGTTTTTTATCATCCATATACTTGCATGGACTCCTGGCTGGCCACAGTGGTCCACCTGCTCCAAATTTCAATCCATATATCTTTAGTAAGAAAGAAACCATAGATTACACCATGACACACAACAATTGGTGTCCAGCTACTCTCTGATACTCCTTCTGAAGTGCAGAGGGCAACTATCGTGATGAGACCACATCTCATGAATGAGGTTTAATTGTATATTGTTGAGCAAATTACATTGTTTATTGTTCATTTGGGTGTCGTTGGTTGAAGTTTTTTTCCATTATACTGCACGGTTGGTGCGGTGGCTGGGCAACCGGCTGCCGTGCAACGTGTCGCGGGTTCGATTCCCGCACGGAACAACACTTTGTGTGATCCACAAATTGTTGTTTCGGGTCTGGGTGTCATATTGTGTATGTGAACTTGTATGTTTGTAAACGCACCCACGACACAGGAGAAAATCCTAGTGTGGGGCAACGTTTTTTTTTTAAAAAAAAAAAAAAAAATCGTAAAGGTGACCTTAGCATGTTATACTTTATTATTAGAAAGTTGAGAAATTGTAGATATTTATTACTTATACATCTGCTATAGACGGTTTTTTTAACGATGAATGAACGATAGTATCTAATAATGATTGAGTGTTTAATTGGGATGATGACAGGGCATGAAAATTAAAAATCTATTTAGTCCAAAAGTTAGGTAATGAAAAAATATTAGACACGTATTTTTCTATTTTGTCGTATAATAAAAGAATACTTAGATAAAACGAATCAAAGTTTAGGAGTGGGGGATAAAACGTCATTTCTACGTATAAAATGTACATAGAAGTGACGTCACGCGACATTTCAAATCAATATATCGAGGAAAGTATTCGTTTCTGTAAGAAAATAAAAAATACGTGTCTAATGATTTAAAATAATCTACCAGACGGAGATTAAAATAAAAATTATGCATCTACCCTATTGTATTCCTTCTTTCAATTGTAGGTATATTCATTGAGTAGTATCATTGGTATTTTGTACCGTTTTTTCGTAGGTATAAATAAATAAACTGGCTGCCGCGCAACGTGCTGCGGGTTCGATTCCCCAATTGTATTGTATTCATTAAGTAGTGTCATTAATATTTTGTACCGTTCTATTCGTATAGACAAATAAACTGGCTGCCGCGCAACGTGCTGCGGGTTCGTTTCCCGCACAGAACAACTCTTTCGGGTTTGGGTTGGTGAACTTGTATGTTTGTAAACGCACACTCGACACAGGAGAAAATCCTAGTGTGGGCCAACGTTTTGTTAAAAAAATAAAATAATAATAATAATACATAATTGGACAAACAACTCAACATACTGGTTTAACTCGTCGAGTACCGGAGTGACTGCTTGGTGTTTGACAGTTTAAACTGTCAAACACCAAGCTTAAACTGTCAAACACCAAGCAGTGACCGCAACCTATTGTTCTATAATTGTGTCTACAAAACCGGTACTCGACGAGTTAAATACTTTCAGATTTCCCACCGAGCCTGCACTGCGCACAGCATGGCTCAAAGCTCTCGGCAAAGAGACGTGGGAGCCCAAAGAAAGAAGTGCAGTTTGCTCTGAACATTTTCTATGCGACGACGTGTATGAGACTGAAGGTGGACTGCGGAGGGTCAGAACGGGTGCGGTGCCTCTGATTCTACAGGTAATTTGTTACAATATATCATTTATACTTTACTAGCGATCCGCACCGGCTTCGCACGGGTGCAATATACATGTATTATCCTTCCTTAAAAATCACTCTATCTATTATAAAAAATCGCATGAAAATCCGTTGCGTAGTTTCAAAGATTTAAGCATACAAAGGGACATAGGGACAGAGAAAGCGACTTTGTTTTATACTATGTAGTGACTAGATCACCCCGCAAGCTATGTATCGCCTAAATGGTTTTTCTCACCCTTTAAACCTTCCCTGCACTTCCATGAACATTTCAAGACTATCCAAATCGGTTCAGCAGTTCTCGAGTTTTAGCGAGACTAACGAACGTCAAATTCATATTTATTTATATAGATAGATAGATAGATTAGATATCGCGTGGTAGTACGCGGTTTCAACGTCCGCTGCTCACCTCCTATTGATTGTAGCATGATATTTTTAGGTCTATAGCGTATAGGCTATGTCTATAGTCTATAGAATATAGCCTGTCATGTCTTATAGCGTATAGCCATAGCCTATAGGCTATAGTCTATGGGCTATAGGCTATATACTATAGCCTTCTTCAATAAATAGACCATCCAACACACCAAGAATTTTCAAATTCTAACCAGTAGTTTTGTAGATAAGTGCGTCCAAACAATCACTTTTTATATTATTACTTTTCGTATCTATAATATTTAGACCGGGCGCTGGATGGAGTTGAGTATGCAAAATGTGAGGACCGCATTCGGTTTATGGTTTTGAACTTAGAAAAGCATGCAAATTATGATTTCGAATGTTGCCAGGAGTTGTATTGGTCCAATTTTTTTTTACACCCCACCCCCTTAGACATCAAGTAAATGGACTGAACATATGCTTTGGTATCATTAAAATAATTGTATTAACGGCAATATCATTTTTTTTTATAATTAAAGATACTTATAGCTAGTCAAGTGGAAAAAGAACAGAAAAATTAATAATAAAAACAAAAATTATTGTTAAAAAAAATTATTTAATACAAAAAAGCAAATTCAAACATATCATAAAAATAAGTATAATCATCAATCTTTTTTATTTTGACAATCGTTATTTATGCATTTGCTTATCGCAATACAATCAATCTGTAGTTTTTTACAAGAGCAAGCCATTGTTTTACAATTGGATGTACATTTACAGGGTTGAATCAACAATTCCGGCAGTGGTTGCTTAGTCATTTGTCGTGGGTATAATTTATCATCTTTCCTTTCATAGCCTAAGAAGGTGTAATCAATAGGCTGTAGTAAAGTTTGGTCAGCATTCACCCATACATATGTTTGTGCTGAAGTGAGAGCTTCAGCGCATAGATGTAAATGTAGAGCATCTGATGTGCAAATAACTTTTAATAAATTTAAGCCGAAACCGATATTTTGGAAAATTAATTTATACCGAAGTTCATCAGCCGTTGAATTTTTTTTTGAAAAAAGATAGGTGCAAATGTTTTCCAATTCTTTTAGCTGTTCGACACTTAGGTACGGATTTCCCAAATGCTTTAAAGCTTCTTGTACAAAATCCAACGATGCAGCGTTTAAAGCATTTTTTTTCGAGCCGAATCTGCTAGTCGAATCGCAACCACTCAGAGCGTGCAATGCTGGCAAAATACCACAAATATTTTCTACAAGGGATTGAGCAGCCAGATGACATCCTGAAATGAATTTTTTCTTATAGGAACCGTCGAACCATAGACCTAAACAGCCTAGACGTGCAAGCTTGTTCCAGAAGTAAATTCCGAGAATGAAAACATCTGTATCAGCGCAAATGATTATGATATGGCCAAGTTTGATTTTCACTGCGTGAAATATATGACCAATCATCCGTGAATCCGCTTCTAAATGGTTAGAATTCAAGTCAGGTACTTCAAAAAATGAAGAACCTTGCAGTTTGAAACATTTTGTTGGATCTTCAAATCCTCCACAAATATATAACTCGCAATCTTCATTTACTTGTGCATATCTAGGGGCAGCAGTACATAGAAATCGAACAAGCTGTAACTTATTTTCAGTGCTTGAAAAGAAATTATTACAATTAGCTGGAATTTTGGTGTGCTCATTTGAAATTATGAAATTTTTCATCATTTACGGTACGAATATGTTCAATGACTTCATCCAGTGGTATATTGCCCATAAACACCAATGATGATTTTGATCTATCGCTCGGATATGAAAATAAAACATTTTCACCATACTTATCAATGAGCAGTGATTTCATAACGCGATTTTCTACAATTGCATCTTCTATTTCAGTGAGTTCAGCTAGTCGCTTGCCCAAGAATGACACTTCAAAAGAGTGAGATGTTAATTTATCTTTCATTTCATCGATTAGCTTTTCAAATGCCTCCATAAGGATGCCATGTGGTATTTGACTTGAAGGTCTGCCTGCTGGATTTTCAGAGTTTCTTGGCTGCCGTAGATAATCACGATAACAATGTTTATGATACCTCACTTCCATTGCAAATAAATCAGCTGGATGTTCGCAAATGCTAATTTTAGTGAAAACATCATCTTGTTTTTTTCGAGCAATATTTAAAATTTGTTCCGCTGCTGAAATTTCAGAACATAAAAGAAGAGTTTTGTTCTTATTTCTTGATTGTTTACCACAAATTAAACATTTATTACTTGTATCAATTTTTAATTCTCTTCTTGATGACCGACGAACACTTTGGCTACCTGAAACATTTGCTTCTGTAGAGGAAGTGGGAGCAGAGGCATTCTCCTGCTTTAGTAATGCTAATTCTCGACGCCTGATTTTCTCTTCACTAATATAAGTTGCAATACAAGCTCGATGCCAAGAACAATTGTGGGTAATAAAGTCTGTATCACTTTCTAATTTCTTACTAATGTCATCTTTTCTGCGATCTGCTGCTCTTTGAATAGTAGTAAACGTTTGTAATTTTGGATTTTTCACTAAATCACCCGTTTTATCACAAAACAAACACGACAATTCACTTACTTTTCGCTTCTTTAGATTTATCACTTGTAGTGACATTTTCCGCCCTTTTATTTAAATAAAACACACTAATAAGACACTCAACTGCAAAAAAACTTAAATAATATTACTTAGATACGTAAAAATAAACCGTTATGGGCTACGAATTCTCTTTTACTGACGTTTCCGAGTGCTATGACTCAGCAACGCGCCGAGCGGAGAGAGGGGTGGGGAAAAGGGAAAGGGACCAGTACAGCTGCCGGCAACATGTGATTTTCTATTATTTAGGGTCTCAGGTAAAAGAATTTGAGCATAGTTGCCGGTCCTCACATTTTGCATACTCAACTACCTTTGGCGCCTGGACTAATTAGTATAGATTCACATTTAAAATTGAGTCTACAAGTATGTGTGCAATAAAGTATAAATAAATAAATAAAAAAAATATCCCTTAACCGACGAGCATGTATGAAAAGACTGTTGAGGAAAGAAAGAAAGAAAGAAAGAAAGAAAGAAAGATTGTTTATTTGTAAAACATGCGTATACATAATCGAGGAAGCTAAAGAGGTATGTAAGAATCGTAGCAATTGGCGTTCCATAGTCTCTGCCTACCCCCATGGGAGGCAGGCGTGAGGTTATGTATGTAATTACGTATGTATTAATCTATATAGATAAATAAAATGGGAGTGTCTGTTTGTAATATTAAAATAACGACATTTTACTACACGCATATGAATATACAACCATTACACATACCAAAATAACATTTGTTAATTGTTATCTGTATGTTTGTACTGGCTAATCTCTGGAATGGGCCATTCCAGAGATTAGCAAAATCGATTTTGCAAGACTTTTATTGGCAGATAGCCGATGTACGAAGGAGTAACATGGGCTATTTGGAAAAAGGAAACAAAAAAAGTTATGCTCTAAAACTAATATTCTACGCAGATGAAGTCGCGGGCAATATGATCATCATCGTCATCGTCATCATCATCATCAACAGCCTATAAATGCCCACTGCTGAGCAAAGCGTCTTCTCACACGGAGAAGGTTTGAGCATTAATCACCACGCTTGCTCATTGCGGCTTGACGATTTCAAACTAATAATTAGAAATTACATATAAGCCCAGGTTTCCTCACGATGTTTTCCTTCACCGTTTGTCAGTGGTGTCTAAATAATCTTGGAAAGTACATCTAACTCTGGAAAAAGTCACATTGCTATGTACTTGCCGTTGGTAGGTTACGAACCCGCACCCTCATGCATGAGAATCGGGCGTCTTAACCTCCGGGCGACCACGACGACGCGGGCAACAGCTAGTGTATAAATAAATAGGTATATCCATCAATAAATAATCATATACTTTCATTTCGTTACAGGATTCCAATGTCTGCGATTCTTATAGAGAGCCTGTTGGTTTGAAGGTATGTACATTTTAACAATAGGGTTGTAGACTAAATTTTATTTTAATGTCCGTCTGGTAGATTATTTAAAACATTAGATAATATAATAGGGTACTACCTCTTAAAGGATTTTGGTCGTCTTTCGTCTTAATCTGTAGCCCTGTATTACCCTTAATTTTGTAATTTTCGCCACTGCCCGCCCCGGCTTCGCACGGGTATATAATATGCATATATTATACATATAAACCTTCCTTAAGAATCACGCTATCTATTAAAGATCTAAGCATACGTAGAGCACTAAGCATACGTAGTTTTAAACATCTGAGCATACATAGTGTTAGACGACGAAAATCAACTAAATGAACATCACTAGTTTAATCTATGTTATCGACAGCACTAGCTGTCATATTGACCGCACGGTTGGTGCGGTGGCTGGGCAACTGGCTGCCGTGCAACGTGTCGCGGGTTCGATTCCCGCACGAGACAACACTTTGTGTGATCCACAAATTGTTGTTTCGGGTCTGGGTGTAATTGTGTATGTGAACTTGTATGTTTGTAAACGCACCCACGACACAGGAGAAAATCCAAGTGTGGGGCAACGTTTTAAAAAAAAAAAATATTGACCATGTCATCTGTCAAATGAGACAGAAAAGTTTCCCGCGAAAAGTGGAGTGACGCGCGAATCTGGTGGGAAGTTTGAAGAGCATTGCGCTGTGTTCATAAAAGAATCCGTTTATAATAAACTTTTCAATATTAAAGTATTGAGTTTCACTTAAAAATAGAGACAGACAGACGGCTGATAGCGACTTTGTTTTATACTATGCAGTGATTAAATTTTGTTCCAGGTGTGTAGAATATGTCTTGATATAGATGCGAAGTTAATACCATTAAAATCATATCAATTAGAACAAGCATATGAAAATCTAACTGGATTGTCGGTAAGTCATCAACATTTTCAATTTACGTTGTGTCACGCTGTGTGAGTCAGGTTATCATAGGACTAATTCTAATCCCCTTTAGGGAACAGAAAATATAGTTCCCTAAGATCGGAAAAGGAGGATACTCCGATCAGCCGAGGTGATCGTGCCTGGCGGGCTTTCTGCCCAACAGTTGACGTCGGGTCATCCCTACGTCCCCGGCTGGGGGCGCTAGGACGCACGATACAGGCCAATGCCTGTCTCGGCGGATTCGTGAGCTGCTACAGCTACGGCGTAGGGTTGGAATAGTCGGGCTCCGCGAGATGCGGTGTCAAGTCCGGTAGTTTGCGCCGCCACGAGCAGCGCTCTAGCCGGGCAAGCCCAGCGAGCAGCAAGCTGTTGGCGGGGCATGGTCGTGTCTAGTGGGGGCGCCGCTAGGGGCCGCGCTCGAGCCGGGGGGAGCCCGGCAAGCGGCGGGCTGGTAGCGGAGCGCGGTCGCGTCCGGAGGTCGGAGTCTCTACCAAACCGCCTAGAGCGGGCGGGCGGGAGTCTCACGCGACGTCCGATGGATCGCTTGGTGCGACCAGGGGGCTTACTCTTGAATCCAATTCCGATCGGTCGACATTGATATTGTGAAATTTCGTACTCTCGAGTTGTAACACTAGCGCCCATTGCATCCGTATTGCGTGGATATTGAATGAACTAAATAGTATTGAGTTTGTCTTTATATTCCGTACTCTGAATGCTATTATAACAGCTGCGATAGGGGTTAGTTTTGACATTGTTGGCAATAATTATTGTGTTTACATTGGATTGCAATTGCATTGACATTGAGATTGGTTTCAAGAGTAAGCACCCTGGTCGCGGTCTCGCGTTCTGACATTCCTTCTTACCTCACCCAAGGCGGGAGAAACGATTGGATGATATCCCACCCCCTTAAAAAAAATATCCTTCCTCGATAAACGCATTATTGAAGACTAAAAGAATAATTCAATTCCAACAATCAAATAGTCTCTTTAGCTAAATAAAATTATATTATTTTTTTTATGTTCCAGCTGTGCACAGAAGATAGATTGCCGCAGAAGTTGTGCACGGAGTGTGTGCAAAGACTCGTAAACTGTGATAAGTTTCGCCTAAAATGTCTAAGATCTAACTCTTTACTTCTAGAAGTTATCAAGAAACAGAACTTTGTGAGTATCATACAAAATTAACTAAAAATCGCGGGTTACTCACGTGAATATACTGAGAAAAGCTCTACTAGTTTCGAGCCACAGAGGGGTTCTACCTCATGAGCAGCGTATTATAAAAACATCAAATAAACTAAGTAAAAACGCGGGTTACTCACGTGAATATACTGAGAAAAGCTCTACTAGTTTCGAACCACAGAGGGGTTCTTCCTCATGAGCAGCGTGCGCGGTCGCGGCGACGTCGCGCAGCTCACTGGTTCGAAACTAGTAGAGCTTTTCTCAGTATATTCACGTGAGTAACCCGCGTTTTTACTTAATTTAGTATGTCTCACGATAGTTATTATAAAAACATCAAATAAACTATTTATTTGCAACCTTATAACATAACATCACGCCTTTTATGCCCGAAGGGGTAGGCAGATTGTGCCCGATATACGGCAATAGACTCACCGTCTATTACATGGGACTCATAAAATAAATAATGAAAAGTGGGTGTTACATTGTACAGTGGTATTAAGTGCCGTAATGTGCATCTCTGCCTATCCCTTCGAGGATAAAAGACGTGATGTTATATGTATGTGTGTGTGCGCTAATTTAAACCTATTTCAACAGTTAACAGAAGAAAATATAAAAACGATCAATCGAGACAATACCCTTCTTAGAACTAAATTAACGAGAACTCAGTTTGAACCGAATCACTGCGACTTCTACATAGAATATACAGAACCACAACCAATTATAGAAGAGAAACAATGTGAGATTGAAATCAAAGAGGAAAACGAAATCTTCTTAAGTGAAGATATTCACGACAAAACTGATTTAAACGTCCTATACGAAGAAAATAAAGAATTTTCCGACAAAGAATTTGGTTTGGACAACGACAATATTTATTCTTCAGACGATAACCTACCTCTAGAGATATGCAAGACCAAGAAAGCCAAGAAGAGAAAGATAAAAGAGAAGAAGCCACTAAAAGATGTTAAAAAAGTTAAAAAATCTAAGGAGATTGTCGAACCGAAAATCGATAGGAGACGGAAGCCATTCTTGAACGATGATCTAAACGAGACGCTATTCACAATCACTGATTTGTCTTTTGAGGAGCAGATAGCAGAAATTGTGAAACGACAGGAGAGTTCGAATTATAAGAATTCAGTGTTTAAATGCACTAATTGTTTTAAAGGGTTCCTAGACGAAGATGCATATAATAGTCATATTATTAGACATACCAATGTGAGTATATAAACAGCATTACGCCTTGTTATCCCCGAGAGGCAGAGGTGTACATTACGGCACTTAATGCCACTGTACAATGTAACACCCACTTTTCACTATTTATCTTATGAGTCCCATGTAATAGGGGGAGAGCCTATTTTTTACTTATGTGAGTTTGAAGAGGTAGTAGTCTAATGACTGTTTGAATGAGGTTAATAACTACCTCGTTGGCCGAGTGCTCGGAAGTTTGACTCCCGAGTAAGGAGTCTCGGGTTCGGTTCCCGGTCTTTCTAAGTGGACTATCAAACAAAATTATTTAAATCGGACCGTTAGTTTCCGAGATTAGCGCTTTCAAACAAACAAACTCTTTTATAATAATAGTATTAGCTAATTCCGTGCGGTTTCACCTGCTCTGCTCGGCTTCTATTGGTCTTACCGTGATGTTTTATAGCCTATAGCCTTCCTCGATAAATGAACTATCCAACACAAAAAGAGTTATTAACATCGGACTGGTAGTTCCAGAGATTAGCGCGTTCAAACAAACAAACAAACATACAATCAAACAAACAAACTCTTCTGCTTTATATAGTAGTAAGCAAGGTTAAGATATATTATTTTATTATAATTTGTATTTTTACAGCAATGTGGCGAACATGAATGTGAAATATGCAAGACGCATTTTAAGCACCCCCATGCGTTACGGAAGCATATAACTGCGCACCACACGCAAAGGTAATTTTATTACACAGTTCCTGACTCCGTGCTACTACTGAGATTTTTTTTTAAACCCAGTAATACTTTGCCCGAAATTTAATCGAAACCGAGACCTCTTACCCGGCAGTCGCACTTGCGACCACTCGGCCAACGAGGCAGTCTCACGATAGTTATTATAAACCATAAATGCTGTTCAATTGAAGTGAAGCTTGTCTCGAGATTAGGTATACCTAAGTAAGTATGTTGTACTTATTATAATAGGCATGGCGACTATTTTTTTATTTTTTGTCCGTCTTTTAGATATTTTAAAAATCTTCGATACGTATTTTTTCTTTTTTCTCGTATCCAAAAAAACATGTAGATATTTTGAATTAAAATGACGCGTGACGTCACACTTAGGTACGATTTCTCCGTAAGTGTGACGTCAACACCCCCCACTCCCTAACTTTAATGCGGAATAACTACGTATTCTTCTGTTAATTTGATAAAACAAAAAATACGTGTCTGATATTTTCGTGCGATCTTAATGATGGACTAATTACTTTTTTGATTTTTTACCCTGTCGACACGCCTATTGTGTACTCGCCAACTAGTCACATTCAATACTTTTTTCGAACTGTCAAAAACGACAATTTTCTATGAATTTTGTACGAGATTGTGTATTGTGACGTCACGTTTTTTTAGCGTCAAACAGCATACTTATTTCTTAAACAATTGGTGGAAATATACCAAAATTAAGTTGGTCGCAAAATCAATTTGTGAAAGTGTAATTATTTTATTATATTTTATTTATTATTTTATGTACACAATTTTACTATGGCACATAAGGCGAACTTAATGCCATATGGCATTCTCTACCAGTCAACCTTAGGGTTTAAGTAGAAAATCAGCGAAAAATAAGGTACGGAGAATAAACTAACAGCAAAGAGTGTGAGAGAGAAAAAAAAGAAAATATTAAATAATATAGCTATGTCATTAAAAGTACCCTTAACCGACGAGCATGCATGAAAAGATTGATGACTGTTAATGAAGCGAAAGAGGTATGTAAGAATCGTAGTAATTGGCGTTCCTTAGTCTCTGCCTACCCCCATGGGAGACAGGCGTGAAGTTATGTATGTATGTATAGCTATGTCAATATATTAAATAATACATTGAACAGTCGAAATAATTTATTTTTGATTAACGAAAGTACCCAATTACAGATTTAGCTGCAAGCAGTGTACGTATGTGACGACGCACAGACAGACGGCCAGACTACATGAACGATGGCATAAAGGCACCAAGTACAGGTGTCCTCACTGTCAAGATGAATTCGTGTAAGTTTTTATTTAATTTATTTCTACTGTTCATCATCATTAGGCTTGTGTAGTTCGCGAACGAACTAGTTCAAAAGAGCGTTCCCACATTCAAAATATGCGAACTAGTTCACGTCATTCCCAACTCCTTAGTTCCTTAGTTCGTATTTCAAAGTACAAGTACAAGGATTGTGAAGTCGTTTATATGTATAGTCTATGGTGAGGACCGAACTAAAAAATGCGATAACATATTATGATCTCACTTGAAAAGTCATGAGCTGACGAACTAGGGAGCGATTTGGCTGCCAGTGCCTTCCTAGTTCCTATCCGATTCATTCCAATTCCAAATCCAACTGGGAGTCGGGAACTGACGAACTAGGGAGCGATTTGGCTACCAGTGCCTTCCTAGTTCCTATCCGATTCATTCCAATTCCAAATCCAACTGGGAGTCGGGAACTGACGAACTAGGGAGCGATTTGGCTGCCAGTGCGTTCCTAGTTCCTATACGATTCATTCCAATTCCAACTCCAACTGCGAGTCGGGAGCTGACGAACTAAAAGAGCGAACTAGTTCGTTTAGGAGCGGCGAACTGATCTGAGTGATCTTAGTCGCGAACTATTAAGCACAAGACTAAATCATCATCAACATCTTATAAGTGGTCACTGCTGACCAAAGGCCTCGTCTCACCCGGAGGAGTTTGAGCATTAATCGCCACGGTTGCTCAATGCGGGTTGGCGATTTCAAACTTATAATTAGAAATTAGTAGCGATCCGCCCCGGCTTATTATACATATGAACCTTCCTTAAGAATCACTCTATGTATTAAAAAATCGCATCAAAATCAGTTATGTAGTTTTAAAGATCTAAGCGTACATAGGGACAGACAGACGGCGGATAGCGACTTTGTTTTATACTCATCATTATCATCATAATCATCATCAACAGCCTATATGTCCACTGCTGAGCAAAGCCTCTTCTCACACGGAGAAGGTTTGAGCATTAATCACTAGTCACATCCTTTTACCTCCGTAGGGGTAGGCAGAGGTGCACATTATGCCACTGTACAATGTAACACCCACTTTTCACTATTTATGTTATGAGTCCCATGTAATAGGGGGTGAGCCTATTGCCATATACCGGACACGATTCCATACTCCGTGCTAATATGGAGATTTTTTAAAAACCCAGTAATACTTTTCCCGACCCGGGAATAGAACCCGAGACCCCTTGCCCAGCAGTCGCACTGGCGACCACTCAGGCAACGAGGCAACGTTGTTTTAATTATGTTTTTTATTTCACAGTAAATTTACGACATATATGGGTCATATACGAATCAAGCATCCTTCGGATTTCGTGTGTGAACTATGTGGGTATTCCTTCGTCAGCGCTAAAGGCATAGAACTGCATAAGAAGCTGAAACATCGACTTGATGATGCACAAGTAAGTCTTCACTATGTTTTTTAATAACATAACATAACAGCACATCTTTTATCCCCGAAGGGGTAGGCAGATTACGTATATACATTACGGCACTTAATGCCACTGTACAAAGTAACACCTAGTTTTCACTATTTATGTTATGAGTCTGTATTAGGGGGTGAGTCTATTGCCATATACCGGGCACAATTCCAGACTCCGTGCTGCTATTGAGATTTTTTTCAGAGACATTGTAGAACATACTTTTTTAAAAGAGTAACGAATGGAGTTTCTTGCTCGTTCTTCTCCATTCGAATCTACGTTTTTGGAATGAGCACCTAGCTTCACCTAGCTTCACTGACGGACTGACTGACAGACTATTATTTATTTTGTATTTGTTGACGTTTCAAAAGTACCAAACTATGGTTTAATTGAAATAAATGCTTTGACTTTGACTTTGGCTTTGACTTTTTTGAAAAGACTTAGTAATACTTTGCCCGACCCGGGCCCCGAATCGAACCCCTTGCCATCCCCTCCTTGCCTCCCCATGCCATCTGGAACACCAGAGGAGTTACAAGTTGTTGCTGGTCTTTTGGGGATTGTAATGTGAAGAATGATCTGGGGTAAATAAACGAATAGTTATTTACTATTTAAAATTCTTTCCAGATCCCTGAAGACGGTCCGTTATGCGAGCTCTGTAATGTACGTTTTATATCGTCTGAGGCGCATAAACGACACCTCAGCGTTTCAGCCAGACATAATACGGGTGAGTACTCATTTACCAACACTGCTCTTGTCCTGGGTGTGTGAGACCCGTTTCAAGACCGAAATTAATAGCTTATTAAAGTCTGTAGTTGATGAATTGAGGTTTTATTAATATAACTCTATATAACTATCGACTAGTTTAATTCGCACTTGCGACCACTCGGCCAACGAGGCAGTTTATTGAGTACACTTTGTACTACCTCTTTAACTATAAGGTCGGCTCGCTCATCGTGCTGGTGGGCTGATTCAGTAGGGTTAGTCTAAGATAATAAGACTATAATAATTAGGTAACAACATAAAGTATTGTGTGTAGTATAGTGGTAGGCGTAGCATGTAAGATCTTTATAAAAAAATAAAAAAATATTTGACTTAAGTATGTACTTGTAATATGACAAGGGCACGGACACGAGTCCGTGGAGAAATTCAATTTTTATTTATTAAAAAAAAAAAAAAACTATAAGCTCTCATTTTAAAGGGAATTAAATTGTATTCTATACGCTATACGTTATCAATTAATAAAATACTATATTTAATTATTATGCATTCGGCTTACTCACGTAATAGGGTAGGTTCCTAATTTTCATTCTAATGTCCGTCTGGTAGATTATTTAAAAACATTAGACACGTATTTTGAATTTTTTTACGGAAACGAATACTTTCGAAGGTATATTGATTTGAAATGTCGCGTGACGTCACTTCTATGTACATTTTATACGTAGAAATGACGTTTTATCCCCCACTCCTTAACTTTGATTCGTTATAAATAAGTATAATTTTATTATACAACAAAATAAAAAATACGTGTCTAATATTTTTTCATTACCTAACTGACGGACTAATTACATTTAATTTTCATATTTGTCATCATCCCTATTATTTGGCGAGGAACTCGACTAGTTTCAAGCCATGCTAGAGGCTCATATTCATGAGCAAAATTCCGCGATCCGCGACGCGGCGACTGTCGCGCTGCTACTGGTCGATACTAGTCGAGTTCCTCATCAAATAATTATGTGATTAAGTCGAAAAACATAATAATTAATTTAGTATGTCTCACGAAAGTTATAACATAAATATATGGGCTGACATCGATACGGAGCCGCGGAAGACTTAACGGGTTGCCGGGGCTCCGGCTCGAAGTGCAGGAGAAGGAACGGGGTGGTTTTTAGTCAGTAAGAGTCTGACACTCCCTCCCGCCTCACCCAGGCGGGAGCAGCCATTGGATGATTTTCTCCGCCGCCCCTTAAAAAAAAATTCAACAGAAACAGAATTATTCAAATTGGACCAGCATTTCCGGAGAATAGCACGTTCATACTAACAAACTCTTCAGCTTTATATTATAGTATAATATAACTATTAATTATAATATTACAGGAACAGACAAAGACTCAAGAGAATCAAATAAACCCAAAAAGGGGCGTAAATCTAAAGAAATGAAAGAAAATGAAAGAAGGTCGCGGGATAAGGACAAAGATAGTGATGAAAAGAGACGCATGTATCCCAGTCAGATGAGGAAAGCTGAAGGACCTATACCTTGCGAACAGGTAAATTTAAAAAAACATTAATTCAAACTAATATATTATTATAAATGCTATAGTAACTCTGTCTATCTCTCTGTCTGTCTTTTCTTCACGCCTAAACTACTGAACCGATTTGTGTGAAATTTGGTACTAACATAGTTTGGAACTCGAAGAAGGACATAGGATAGTTTTTATCCCGAACGTTCCGCGGGAACTTCTCAAAAATCCCGCGAGATCGGGAACTATGTGGATAAAATAAAAAATCTGCCGGTAGTCACTATTCCACGCGAACGAAGGCGCGGGCAAACGCTAGTGTTTTTTATAATAACTATCGTGACATATTAATTCACTGAAAATATCGGTTTATCTAAAAATACGATTTTGTTCCTCCAGTGTGGTTTACAACTAGAAGATTCAAGAGCCTACCACGGCCACTTCAGACGTATGCATCCGGACAAGAATCGAACCAACTACCCGTCTATGAAGTCGCCGTGCATGTGTGAAGTGTGCGGTAGAATGTTCCAAGTAAGTCTGTATTATGATAAAGATTTTAAAAAGAAGAAAAGAAAAAGAAGTTGATAACTTTTTAATATTGCACGAACGGTTCGACCGGAGGAATACCACGGCCTCACAGAAGACCGACGTGAAACAACGCTTGCGATGTGTTTCGTTGTGTGAGTGAGGTTATCGACCCCCCCCCCCCCTTTTCCCAATCCTTGAATCCCAACAATACTCAAATTCCTAATCCCAAAAGGCCGGTAACGCACTTGTAACGCCTCTGGAGTTCCAGGTGTCCATGGACGTCGCCGATTGCTTACCATCAGGTGATCCGTCTGCTCGGTTACCGGCTTATCCCATAAAAAAAATACAGTAAAAAAATTCTCTAATAAATTATGTTTTCATGCAAATATATGCTTACTCACGTGAGCTGTTCAAAAAAAGCTAAAACTATAAGCCCCGGTTTGATTAAAGTTTCAATTAGAACGTCTCTCGAATTTTATCATTTAAGCTACGATCTCTAACCTGCCAGTCTTAGAAATTACGTGAAACCTTTTTAAATATGTACAGGATGCTTAGTTGAACAATGTACCGTGTTTGTAGACCGCTACGTATGTACTATCGGCAAAGTATTTTTTTTATGGCCTAAGCCGGTAAACGAGCAGACGGATCACCTGATGGTAAGCAATCGGCGTCGCCCATGGACACCTAGAACACCAGAGGCGTTACAAGTTCGTCACCGGCTTTTTGGGGATTAGAAATTTGGAGGATCGTTGGGGATTCAGGGATTGGGGAGATTGGGGAAGGGGAAGGTAATTGGGCCTCCGGTAACCTCACTCACACGACGAAACACAACGCAAGCGTTGCTTTACGTCGGTTTTCTGTGAGGCCGTGGTATCACTCCGGTCAAGCCGGCCCATTCGTGCCGAAGCATGGCTCTCCCACACTTAAAGTTGACGGTAGTACAGTTTTTAAATAAGATCTTGTCACAAACTTCCTATCTACTGGGCTTTTCCCTTTGGTCGTGCCGATTGCAAGCGACTATCGCCTAATGATGATCAACCGTCAACTTTGTCGATTATATGGGCCGTATTTGTGTATTTCAATTTATCAATTATTTTTTTTTCTAATTCAGAGTTACGCCCTCCTAAAAGATCATACATGGGTCCATACAGGCGAGAGACCATTTAAATGTGATTCCTGCGGCAAATCGTTCAGAATGAAACAAAGACTAGTGGCGCATAGACGCGTACACAGTCAGGTGCGCGCTAGCTATGTTTGCGCGCTCTGTGGGAAGCATTTCTCCACGCATAGCAATAGGCAGAGGCATATGTTTGTAAGTATAAAGAACAAAGTACCCTTAAAAGTACCCTTAACCGACGAGCATGCATGAAAAGATTGATGACTGTTAATGAAGCGAAAGAGGTATGTAAGAATCGTAGTAATTGGCGTTCCTTAGTCTCTGCCTACCCCCATGGGAGACAGGCGTGAAGTTATGTATGTATGTATGTATGTATGTATGTATGTATGTTT